AAAAAAAAAGCTGGAAGTGGCGCTGTGGCTCAAGTGGTAGAGCGCTAGCCTTGAGCTGAAGAGCTGAGGGACAGCGCCCAGGCCCAGAGTTCAGGCCCACAACCCCCCTCCCCAAAAAAAAATCACTATCCAAGCTGAGTGCCAGTGGCTCATGCCTGTAATCCTAACTACTCAGGAGGCCAAGACTTGGATCATGGTAACACTGTGGCTCAAGTGGTAGAGCACTTGCTTTGAGCTGAAGAGCTAAGGGACAGCTCCCAGGCCCAGAGTTCAAGCCCCATGACCAACCAAAAAAAAAAAAATCACTATCCTAATCTTAAACATCACAGGTAGATTTTTTGGATATAAAACTAGATGAGCCGGGCGCTGGTGGTCCACACCTGTAATCCTAGCTACTTAGGAGGCTGAGATCTGAGGATCACAGCTCAAAGTCAGTCCAGGCAGGAAAGTCTGTGAGACTCTTATCTCCAATAAAAACCACTAGAAAGAAAAAAAAAAAAACACTAGAAAAACCAAAGCGGCTCTGTGGCTCAAGTGGTAGAGCACTCACCTTGAGCTGAAGAGCGCAGTGACAGCACTCAAGCCCAGAGTTCAAGACCCATGACCGACCAAAAAATAAAATAAAACTAAATGAAACAAAAATTCTCCGGAATTATGAGACACTGCTCCATTATCTTCTAGCTTTCAGCTGCCATTCTGAATACCAATCCTTTGTATATAGTTTTATTCTTTCCTCTCTGGAGCCTTAGATCCTTGCTTAACTTTGATCTGAAGTTCATGATGTTTCTTGGTCTATTTTCTGTTTTGCTAATACCATGGTTTGAACTCAGGGCATTGTGCTTACTCAGCTTGCTTGCTTGTCTGGTTAATGCTCTAGCATGGCCTTTTCTTGCAGACTTTTCTGCTTGAACTAGTTTTAAACCTTGAACTTCTGGATCTCAGCCCGAGTAGCTAGGATTACAGGTAGCCATATGCTAACAGCTGGTATAGTTTCTCTGTGCTAGACACTAAGTAGGGGCCCATTTCATTTGGTACCTCAAGTCCTGTTCTGGGAACGTCTTTCTCCCTCTCTCCCTCCCTCCCTTCCTTCCTTTCCTCTCTCCCTCCTACTTTCTTTCTTGGTTGCCAGTCTTGGGGCTTGAACTCAGGGTCCCACTCCCTAATTCAGCTTTTTTGCTTTTATCTAGCACTCCACCACTTGAATCACACCTTCAGTCCAGCTTTTTTGCTGATCAGTCGGACAGAATTTTGCAGATTCCTGTGATGAACCTCAGATTTCAGCGTCTTGAGAAGGGTTCTTAGAAGCATGGCTCTCATAACTTTTTTTTGCCAGACTTGGGGCTTGAACTCAGGGCCTGATCGCTGTCCCTGAGATTATTTTGTTCAAGGCTAGCACTCTACTACATGAGCCACAGTGCTACTTCTGGCTTTTTTTTTTTTTTTGGGTCCAGTAGTGGGGCCTGAACTCTGGGCCTGGGCGCTGTCCCTCAGCTCTTCAGCTCAAGGCTAGCGCTCTACCACTTGAGCCACAGCGCCACTTCCAGCTTTTTTCTTTTTGCTTATGTGGTGCTGAGGAATCAAACCCAGGGCCTCAGGCATGCAAGGCAAGCGCTCTACCACTGAGCTACCTTCCCAGCCCCAATTTTTTTTTTTTCCAAGCAGGAGAAGTTTATTTACCAAACTGCTGCCCCCACCCCGCATGGTGGACAGGCATGGCTGAAAAAGAAAAAGGGAGATCCAGTGCCTAGATCTCTCTCTCTCTCTCTTTCCCTCTCCCCCCCCTTCCTTCCTTCTCTCTTTTTTCTTCCTTTTGGCCAGTTCTGAGGCTTGAACTCTGAGCCTGGGTGTTGTCCCTGAGTTCCTTTTGTTCAAGGCTAGTACTGTACAGCTTGAGCCACAATGCTACTTTTCTGCCTAGGGTGACATCAAACTGCAATCCCGAAATCTCAGCCTTCCAAGTAGCTAGTATTACAAGTGTGAGTCACCAGTGCCCAGCTTGTGCTTCGTTTTGAACTTGATCTTTCTTACACTTTCTGGGGAGATTTAAAGATGACCCCAGTGACCTCCACTACCTAGTGTTTACACTTTTAAGAAATATCCTAAAAAAAAAAAAACACATGAGTGAAAAAAAAAAAGAAATATCCTCCCCTTGAGCATGGGAATAACTTATGGATTGCTTTAAGATAATACAACAAAGGTGAAAGAATGTCATTTATCTTTCTACTTGACCACACTAATATCTCAGTCTTCATGCTTGATACTTATATGAGAAAATTGCACTGAAGAGCATGGCAAGGACTATGGTAATCTCTTGCCAATAATCAGCTAGGAACTGAATGTATTAGCTTTTTAGAACTTGAATCCTGCCAACAGCCATGACTAGAAGAGACTATTCTGATTAAGCCTTCAAATAAAATAGAGCTCTGTAGGTCATGACAAATTCCAAGGACCCAGCTTAGCTATGGGTAGATATTCAACACACAGAAATAACAGTATTAATTTAGTTTTGTGTGTGTGTGTGTGTGTGCGCGCGCCCTGGTTCTGGGGTTTGAACCCTGTCTTTAAGCTATTTTGCTCAAGGATAGTAATCTACCATGTAAGCTACAGCTCCACTTCCAGCTTTTTAGTGGTTAATTAGATACGAGTCACTTTCCTGTCTGGGCTGACTGAACTTCGATCATCAAATCTCAGCTTTAACACCTGGCTAATCTTTTTTTTCTTTTTTGGGTCCGGTTGTGGGGCCTGAACTCTGGGCCTGGGCGCTGTCCCTCAGCTCTTCAGCTCAAGGCTAGCGCTCTACCACTTGAGCCACAGTGCCACTTCCGGCTTTTTTTTCTTTTTGCTTATGTGGTGCTGGGGAATTGAACCCAGGGCCTCAGGCATGCAAGGCAAGTGCTCTACCACTGAGCCACCTTCCCAGCCCTTTCTTTTTCTTTTTTAAGCTGTTGAGTTTATAGTAATTTTTTACAGAGAAATAGATATGCTATGTAACTCACCTACACTGTAGTTGTAGTTCATTGCTTTTGCTGCTTTTTATTTCTATTAGTCTAGTAGACTCCTAATGGGCAACTGGAAAGATTTCAATTTGGACAAGTATATTATAAACATTCTTGCAGATGTCTGCAAATGGACATAGACTTATAAATTTATATTTTTACTGGTTACACACCTAAGCTGAGAATCACTAACACTGGGTGTGTTCAGCTTTGGTAGCTTCTGCCAAACCTCTTTCATTCTTTTTATTTTTTGCTAGTCTTGGGTCTTGAATTCTGGGTCTGGGTACTGTCCCTGAGCTTCTTTTGCTCAAGGCTAGCACTCTACCACTTGAACCATACAGCATCACTTCTGGCTTTTTCTGTGGATGTGGTACTGAGGAATCGAACCCAGGGCTTCATGCAGACTAGGCAAGCACTCTACCACTGTCACATTACCAGCCCCTGCCAAACCTATTTCAACATGGTTATTCCAAATTACAGTGCTTTCACCCTGTATCTCCATCAGTGCTTAGTACTACATGACATGTTCATTACAGCCCCTGAGTCCAGGGTGGTGTATCTTGTGGTGATTTGAATTTGCCTACTCCAAAGACTAGTCAAGTTGTACAATATATGTTAATTGGACATTTGGATAGCTGTTGTGAAATGCCTATTCAAGTCTTTGAGCTATTAGTGCCCTGGAAGAGCTTTGTGATAATCAGGGATAGAAGTGGGGTGGGAGAAGAAAGTACACAGGAGAAGGAGTGCAATACACACACAAATCTTTTCCCACTTTGTGGTTCCCTGTACTATGCCTTTGAATTCTTCTTTTGGTAAATGATATAATCCAAGTTACTGATGTTTTTCCTACATGATTAAAACTATTTGTGAACTGTTAAAAAAACCAACTTTGCCTATCTTGATACCAAGCAAATTATTTCTAAACAAATCCAGAATGAACATTTTTTAATTTTTGGTGGGGTTGTATAGTATAAGGTTGAGCCAAAATTAACTTTTTCCCCAAAGGCACTAACTTGCTCATCTGACTTACTGGAATATTGTTTTCTTATAGCATTGCACCATCAGGTAACCCACATGTATATGTGGGTTTCTGAACTCTATTCTGTTCCATAGGCTTACTTGTTATTTTGATCTTATTAAGTCCTTTATTACTACTTTGGGTTTTAGGAGGGAACAGTGACAAGCTCTTTTTTAATCTATAATTTTAAATTTGGAAGTCCTTAAGAGCTTACATTTTTTTTGGTCTTTTTGTCAGTCGTGGGACTTGAAGTCTGGTCCTGGGCACTCTCCCTCAGCTGAAGGCTAGTACTCCACCACTAGAGCCACAGCACTACTTCTGGCCTTTTCTGTTTATGTGATACTGAGGAATCAAACCCAGGGCTTCATGCATGCGATGCAAGCACTACCACTAAACCACTTTCCCAGCTCACAATCTCCATTTTCATATGGGCAATTAGTAGGAATACTAGTGATTTTTTGCACTACTGGTCTAGATGCAGGCTTCGCAATGGCTATCTTTGTCTGCCTTGTTCACTGCTGTTTTCAGTGCCAGACACAATACACCAGGAACATCACAGGCATTCAATAAATGTCAACTGAGTGAATAACGATATTACTGGAAAAAAATTATGGAGAAAAGGGAATATTTTAAAGTGAATTATAAATTTCAGTTTCTTTAATCATCTTTAATTTTCTTTCTGTCTAGTCAGGAAAGAATTCCCTTCAACTAACTCACATCCTTTTTTTTTTTTTCCTTTGCCAGTTTTGGAGCTTGAAGTTGGGCTGAGAACCATCCCCGAGCCTCTAACACTCTACCACTTGAGCCACAATGCCACTTCTGGCCTTTTCTTTTTATCTGGTGCTGAGAGGAATCAAACCCAGGGTTTCATTATGCTAGGCAAGCACTCTACCACTAAGCCACATTCCCAGCCCCCTGACCCACATTCTTAAGAGCGGGAAAATAAGAGAAATAGTAGCTACTTAGGAAAAAGATGAGAGTGAAGGTAATTATAAATCTTTTGCAAAACAGGTACAGCTTTGATCCTAGCAATCAAATACTGAAGAGTTCTTCCCAGTCCAGTTTCTGTTTTTAGAAAGCAGCATGTTGAAATGAACTCATAGCAGTTTTCAGTATATGCTATATCATGGCCCTCACCCTAGGAATCTCCTAACTCACCTCCCTAATGTACCTCTTCACCTGTTTTGATGGATATTGACATTAATGGCTATAAAGGGGGAAAGGAGAAGACACAATTATTTAAAAATACATAAACAGGGGCTGGGAAGGTGGCTCAGTGGTAGAGCGCTTGCCTTGCATGCATGAGGCCCTGGGTTTGATTCCTCAGCACCACATAAGCAAA